CAACTTTGTGTGTTGACCCATCTGCATTGAACAACTATTGTATAAACACTATTTTAATCACTTAGAAACTTTAGCTCAACAACAGTTATTTGGCATTACTACAGGAAGGATGAAAATGAAAACTTCAGAATGGGACAATAATAGGTATTGGAGGTTTTGTTTTTGCCTAGGATCAATACTAAAAAAAATCCATTGATCATATTATACTACCATGTTGCATATTATATTAAAACTTCCAAAAATATATTATTGATGAGGAACAATATATTTAAATAGAATGCCTTGTTACATTTACAAACTGTATAGCACAAGAACATTTTATTTTAATATCAATCTTTTAGTATAAAGGAAATTGGAAATAGTGAATATATATTTTGTGGGACAGATAAAGTTTCTACTGGATATTAGGTTACAGTATTAATATGCATAGTAGTTACTTTTATGAAATGACTAGTTTTCCCGAGATAAGAAAATATGGTGCTGAAAGACAAAATAGAGACTACAGAGTTTTTGACCCTCTCGGTGAGATCCAATTAAGTTCTGAGCAGTGACCTTCTCTTTGTGTCATATTGTGTTAAAATGTATGTGACAGCTCTTCTTTTGGAAACTTCCATCTATCGATGATTAAGGTGAGGCTGTCAAACTCATTTATTTGGGATTACAGGAGGAATTCACAAGAAGTTCCCAAAAGCAAAAGTTACATTGGGTTTATCCATTATGTTACATGGCCTCATACAGTTGTTTCACTTTCACAATAAGTGTCTATTATTTATAAAACGTATAGTTGAAGTTTCTGTTAGCACCAACTTCAAATTACTACAGTGTTTACCTTTTCTGAGAGAGAAAATTCTATTATTTTTTAAATAAGTTGACTTCGATCATCTCATTTTGCTTTCAGTGTGGATACTACCAAAATCCAAATAAGTGTATTTTACCTTGATAGCCTGTGCAGAAAAAGCTATATCTCAATGTTAGTTTTCACCTAAAATATTATATTATAGGCTTGTTCACTGGCACAGCTATAATCAAGTATCTGTCATCATTTCCATTAAACTTATATTTTATGGGGTTTATAACACGCACACATAAGATCTCTCTGAAACTGAAACTTGGCATAAAAGATCTTATCTCCGAAGTGAAAGAGGTTTTGCTTTATTACAATTTAAAATAACCCTGTTGAGAGATTTTAAATTACAGAACTGCAAAAACAAAAATTAAATGTAGATAGAAAGAAATGTATATTTCAAAGTTTCAGATGCATTATGGATTTCATTTCATTACATTAAATAATTCACCTCCAAAATATACATTATCTGAGACTATATAATTACATCTGTTCCATTCAGACTATGATTACATTCCATTCAAATTCAATTCAGTGTAAATTTGGAGTAACCACAATAACTTTACAACGCAAACAATAAAATCATAATGTGTAATGTGATGGCATCCCGTCAGAATGGAATGAGATATAAACCCTAAATGATATTTCAGAACCCTTTTTTGTCTTTGTAACCTAGCTTGCTCTCTAACGTCATTGAAACCTAGAACTCTGCCAGGAAATTCAAGGATGGTTTGTAAATAAAAGCCAAATATTTTTTCAAAACTACCTCTTTTATATATATATATATTAATGCATTATTTGGTTAGTAGTATTCAACCAACTCTCAGATAAATATTTGTAGGTCCAGAGTTTCAGAATTTACTACCTATATGGAACCTGCAAATGAGCATTTGTGCAGTCAAAATGAGTTTATGTGCACGCTGTCCAAGTTCCATAGTGGTCCGTTCTGAAATTTAGGCCCATAATGTACATCTCCAACTGATTAGTCACAGGGTGTTCTCACACTATGACAATTCATATGAGGGAAATCTGATGGGAGGAAGATGCACACTGGTTATTAGAGCAGGTGATAGTGAATCAGGACTTGGTTTCTATTCCCATGCTCTGCCTTTGCTGTATGATCCTGGGCTATCCACCTAAGCCAAAAGTTTTGAATGCTGAGTGCCTCAGTTAAACACCTAAATCCATATTTAAGCAATCAAATACGCAGCTTGATTTTCAAAGGTGTTGAAATTCTACAGCCCCCACTGATTTCAAAGGGTGTCCGACACCTACACCTGTGAAAATCAAGCTACATTATTTAGGAGCTGAAGTTTAGGGCGCGTCTTCACTAGCAACATTAAAGCGCTGCCGCGGCATCTTGAATGTGGCTGTGCTGATGCACTGTCTGCATCGGCACTTTACAGCTCAGAAACTTGCATCGCTCCGGGGTGCGTTTTTTCATACCCCAGAGTGAGAAAGTTGCAGCGCTGTAAAGTGCCAGTGTAGACAAGCCCTAAGACATCCATGTTTGGAAACGTTGGCCTTAACTTCTCTGCACCTGAGCCTGCCCATTGGGAAAAGTGCTAATTCTATGCTGCAGAACTTTACACAAGCCTTCACTTACACAAGCCTCACTCCAGCTGCCCAAAGGTGGGTGAGGTAAAAATTTTTATTGGACTAACTTCTGTTGGTGAGAAAGACAAGCTTTGGAGGTTCTACAGAGCTCTTCTTCGCATCTGGGGGTGGGGGGTACTCTGAGCCTCACAGATAAATACAAAGTGGAACAGACTGTTTAGCACAAGTAGTTAGCACACTTTCCAAGGGACCATTCAATGAATTGGCCCATTAGCACCTCTGCAGTCCTAGAACAAAAAGATTATTGTAATAAGCCATAAATCCAGTGTCTCTGTTCAGTCTATGATTTTTAGTGTCTAGCAAAGTTATAAATTTAAGCTCCCAGGCTCATCTTTTGAAAGTGTTGTACAGGTTTCCTTTGAGGAGAAAGACCAATAGGTCAGACAGTGATGGCCGTATGGCTTATTACAATGCTCTGTAACCCACTGACCCCCTGTCAAGGCTGATTCCCCACTCTGGCACTTCGAGTGCAGAAGGATTCTAAAAATTAATACTGGCCACTCCTGGCTTGTATTAAACTCCAAGGTTGCAGCTTTTCTGACTTGTGTGGTAGTAGCATCTACCCATCCAAAGTGCAAAAACCCCTTTGAGAACCCAGGAAAGTGCACTTGGGAATTCCTTCCTGTGGGGTACCCTCAAGCACTTTCATCCCCCCCACCCCGCTCCCCACCCCCAGGGAAGAGCTGAGAAAGAAAACAAAGGAAATCAGCTGTTGCTACCAGCTGATTAAACAACATGTGTACAAATCTCTTAGGACACAAATTCAATCCTGTTCCTAAAAAAGGTAAATTTTATTAAAAACAAAAAGAAAGAAAATACATCTGGAAACTTAGGCTATTGCTAGATTTAAAAAAAAAAAATACAAAAATTAAGAATCAAGAATAGCTTTCTTGAGTAAAGGTTACAAGCCAGAGTAAAGGTTACAAGCAAAACAAAAGCACCTGGGGTTAGCACAGAGGAATCCACAAGCCATAAAGAAATAAGAGATAAACCTAAACACATCTTCCTAGACACTTTCTGAGCTACTTACATATCTGGGGTTTCAAATGAGTAGCTTCTAGGTATGATCTGATGATTTTTCATACCTGGCCCCTCTTACAGCATAGCTGCTCTGTCCCTTCTCTCTGGGAGAACAACACAGACAGACAAAGGGGAATTTTTTTCCCAATTTTAAAAAGTTCTAGCCTTCCCATTGGCTCTTTTGGTCAGGTGTCCACTCCCTTCCTTTTACCTATGGACTTTTTAAACCTTTACAGGTAAAGCAAGTAGACACCTACTAAGAGAAAAGGAGGACTTGTGGCACCTTAGAGACTAACCGATTTATTTGAGCATAAGCTTTCGTGAGCCACAGCTCACTTCATCGGATGCTGTAGCTCACGAAAGCTTATGCTCAAATAAATCGGTTAGTCTCTAAGGTGCCACAAGTAGTTCCTTTCTTTTTGCGAATACAGACTCACACGGCTGTTACTCTGAAACCTACTAAGAGGAATTTTATAGTGAACTGGCTGGCTGGATGTCTATAAAAGGGAGCTACCTTCCCCCCCACCCCCCATTTATCACACCCTCTTTTTGTCCAACAACTGCAGAGGTGTTAGTGGACCACTCAACCTTGAATGGTCCGTAAGGGCTTCTCTACACTGGCGTTTTACAGCGCTGCAACTTTCTTGCTCAGTGGTGTGGAAAAACATCCCCCCCCCCCCCAGTGCAGCAAGTTTCAGTGCTGTAAAGCACCTGTGTAGGCAGTGCACCAGCGCTGGGAGCCCCGCCCCTGGTGGAGGTGCCTTTTTTCGAGCACTGAGAGAGCTCTCTCCCAGTGCTGCCCCACAACCACACAAGGCATGTTAAAGCGCTGCCAGGGTAGACTAGCCCTTAGGCTGTGTGCTAACTGGTTATGCTAAACTCTGTTCCAACTCCCAGTTAGCTGTGGCACTGGGAGTACCTTCCCGGGACCTGAAGAGCTCTGTGGCTGTGAAAGCTTGTCTCTCTCACCAACCAAAGTTACCCTCAGGGCTTGTCTACACTGGCACTTTACAGTGCTGCAACTTTCTCGCTCAGGGGTGTGAAACCCTCCCTCCCCCCATCACAGCAAGTTTCAACTTTTCCCCTGGTGGGGGTGGGTTTTTTTTATAGCGCTGAGAGAGCTCTTCTCTCCAGGCCTGCACCGCGGCCACACAAGCCACGTTAAAGCGCTGCTGGTGAAGACGAGCCCATTGCTAACACGATTGTCCTGGAGTCTCCAGGAATTAAAGTTTAATATTCAATTAAATGTTCTGTCAGGGGATGAAACCTCCAGGAATAAGTCCAACCAGAATTGGCAACACTACCCACCTTGTCTCTCCAATATCCTGGGACCGACAGGGCTACCCCTACACCGCATACAAAGCCCCATTACCATGAGAGAAACAGGCCGGATTGTCGACATGTCTCTTGCAGAAGCTGCAGCCAGGGGGGCAGTGCGACTGGGAGAGGCGGGAAGCCCTCACCTGGCAGGCCTGCCCTGGGTACACCCCGCTGGCTGCCCGCCCTGCCGCGGGGAGCCCGCTCTCCGCTCCTGCGGCGCGGTGTGTGTGGGAGGGGGCCCGACTGCATCACCCAGTGCAGCCCCGTTCCCCACTTTGCCCCAGTCTCCTGCCGGGGCGGGTTTCCTGCCCACGTCCCGGGCCTTGCCTGGGCTCGGCCTCTCCCGCCGGTCGGGAGCAGGGACGGCGAGTTCCTGCCGCACTGGGGCCACCTCTAGCGCAGGAGGCCGGCGGCGGCCGGTCCGCAGCCAAGGCGGGGTCAGGCCAGGGTGCAGGCGCTCCAGAGCCGGCATCAAACCTGGCGGCGCTTTCTTCTTCCGCGCCCCGTCCCCTCCTCCCGCGGCCTGTGCCCGGGGAGCCGCCGCAGGTAAGGCTCGCTCTGCCCCTGCGCTGCCCCTCAGCATCCGAGCTGGGAGCCGCTCCGCTTGCGCGCGTTGTCCCCTCCGGGGACAGGCAACCCCCCACCCCCTCCAGTGAGATTCCCCCTCTCCTACGTTGTCAAGCCCCTTTGGGGCCCCGTTAGTTTCTGCCTCCACCAGCACGAGCCTGCATCGCTCGTGGGCCGGGGCGCTCTGGGGCATGGGGGGCTCAGTGTCCTGCCAGCCCTGCACACTGTGCCAGACCGACAGGGGTAGAGATTGGGGGGTTAGTGGCGTGGATTATTTGTGGCTGTGGGATATTTAAGGCCAGAAGGGGCCATCACGACCATATTCTGACTAAAGTTCGTTGTTTGTTTTAGTCACTTTCTGTGACGCACAGAACTTGTAAGGCATCTTGTAAGCAAATCTGTGACTATTTTATAGGGGGTTGCATAGTTCTCAATGGGAGAACATTTTACTGAGGCTGGAAGTGCTTTGGTCAGGGGCTGTCTTTTTAATGTATTTATACAGCGCCTAGATCCCCAACTGGGTCCTCTAGGCAGTTAGGCACTAATAATGAGAATAATAATAACTACTAAATATCTCATTATTAGGGGGATATCACAGACTTTTGCTTCCCAAAGCATTGTTGAGAGGATAGGAGAGCAGCCTGAGTTTCTGGTAGGTATGAGATTTTTTGTGCTATTATTTTGTTTGTTTGGTGGGATTTTTTCACCTATGTGTGGATAAGAAGAGCATTGCTCTTGATATCTTTGATCATTATGGTTTGCAGCATGATTTTAGATCTTTTAATCTGCTATGTAAATCAGATTTTCTAAAGTGCAGATCTTGATTGCATTACTCACTTTTTTTACTCAGTCCTTACTTGAGCAAAACCTCATGGCAGTCAGTGGGAGTTTTGTCTAAGTAAAGACAGTAAAAACTGAGTAAGGACCTCAGGATTTGGACCCATGTGAATGTCAGGTAAATACCATCATTTATATCATTTTGTAATATTCAGATTTGGGTGCCTGAAGTTAGACATCTAGATTGGGATTCTCAAAGCAACGTAGGGGATTTAGATTCATATCTGCCATTAATTTTAGTGGAGGACAGGTATCTAAATCCACTAGACTCCTTTGAAAAACCTCTTCTCCAATCCAAATGAGGGCTTTTATGTTTAGGTAAATGAACTTTGTGCACGCAGGTTTGAAACTATTGTACAGTACAACTATTTTATTATTTTTCCTATTGTAGTCCTATGCTATTCAATTTGAAATAGCTGATTGTTGATTCCCATTTCCCTTTAAACTGGTCTGGTTCTGTGTTGCTTTTATTGAGAGTTTGTTCTATGAGATTTACTCTGATCAGCGTGAACTCTTGTGGTGTTACTGCATTGATTCATCATTGCTGTCAGGATACTTTTTTAACCAGTGTTAGTGATAGCAACAGAGCATTTATAACCATTTTGTCAAGTTTTGACATGTCAGTATGCCAAAGATGTGATATTTAGGAACTTTAATAGCACAGATATTCATTGCAGTGTATTACTTCTGTGTGACAAGTTTGCTAGTTAATATGACCATATTTGGAGTGGTGGGTGAAATTCTGTGGCCTGCGCTGTGCAGGAGGTCAGACTAGATTATCATAATGGTTCCTTCTGACCTAAATATCTAAAATATCTATGAATATTCAATTACACTAGTAGGCCTTTCTAGTGAAGTTTTTTTCCCCTTAAGACAACACCTTCGCTATAAGCAGGTGCTCACTGTAACCAGTAGCACAATCTGCACATTCAATGCATTGAATCAATTTTGAACTTTCTTTCTACTTCACTCTAAACAGAGTTTCTTTGTATCTGAGCTGCTTATAAGCAGGTTCCAAAGTATGTGTAATAACTCACTAGGAAATGTTTACACTAAACAGTAGTATGCCATATAACAAAGAACAGTGCAGGGAAGTCATCTATTTAATATTGGAGAAGATACACAAAGATGGATGAATAGCAAAGTGAAAATATAAGGGGAATTTTGGGGTTGCAAAGCTTCAGTAAGATACAGTTAATTACATTACTAAGTAGAGGTGATTATACCACTAATTAGAGGCCATAGAATAGGTATGGAAAATGCTTTTTTGTTTCCTTTCTGTAACTGATTCCAATTTTGTTTGTTGTTTCAACATTACTGGGTACTGTGTAGCAGAACCCAAAACATCACCTATTTGATCAGCAGGTTTTTATGCTAAATGAGTTCAAGGTCACCTAAGGGAGACAAACTCTGACTACCTTAAAACATAGTTGGCTGTGCACTGCTTGTCAATTTGTTCATGAGACTTCATGGAGTTTTTTTTTCTCAGATTCTCCACTTCTTCTTGACTTCTAGTTGGATTCTAAGACTTTTTCTTTTCACTTTAAAACAACTTAATTGCAGACATGTTTTGCAGGTTAATGCATTTTAGAATCCCAGGATTCCTCATAAAAATGAAATTCTACCAAAGTTAACATAAATTAAACATGACTCTGCTTCAGTCCATGGGCTGACATGGCTTGGGTAATAACACTAATACTTAGCACTTCAATAGTCTTTGTCTTTCCACAGCACTTTACAAACAGTGGTCCTGATCCTGCAGTCATCTCCATATTGGCAGACCCTTTTGTCCATGCATAGTCCCACTGAAGTCAATGGGGCTTTGCATGGGTGCAAGGGTCTGCCCACACAACAGATATAATAAGCAGCAGCTTCAGTGGGGCTGCCTGTCTGCAGAAGCAGCAGACAGCACTGTTAACTTTCTGAATGTTAACTGTTCCTAATATAATCTTTACAATGGGTATAAAATTAGTATGAAATCCTGATACACTTGTAGTCAATGTGAGTGGGCCTTCTTAAAGAATAAAAGTTTTCATTCTGCAGGAGGAGGGATAGCTCAGTGGTTTGAGCATTGGCCTGCTTAAACCAGGGGTTGTGAGTTCAATCCTTGAGGGGGCCATTTAGGGATTTGGGGCAAAAATTGGGGATTGGTCCTGCTTTGAGCAAGGGGTTGGACTAGATGACCTCCTGAGGTCCCTTCCAATCCTGATATTCTGTGAAGTGATGGGCCTGGCTCATCAGAGAAGATTTCCTATTGACACTGTTGAATGAATTTTGCAAACCTGATTAAGGTTTTTCAGCAAGCTGTTTCAGCACATAAATAACTTGTATGGAATCCCATACAAGAAAGCTTCCATGACACTACTCATTTAAGAATTACCAACAGTTCATACCCTTGTGAAAACTTACACTACTTTACTACAAAAGGATATTTCATTTTCTGTAGCTAAATCATGCTGTTGCTGTAGATGTTAAAAAGCATTCAAATGCAACAATGATGGAGATAGTAAATGACTGGATAGAAAATAATTTATGTTTGTGGTTCCATAACCACATAAATAATTTATTTCTTATTCAAATAACTTTACAAAGTTAAATACAGAATCCCTGAGAACTCTCATTAAAATCAGCAAGAGTCTCTTTTATTAGCTTACAAAAATATGTTTGATGGCTATGTAAATGTTTAGCTAAGAGGATAATAATTTCTGTGAAGCCTTCATTGTCTGGGGATGAGGTGGTCAGAATTTATACTGTTTCTCACACACACTGTAATTTTGCATTTTCTTTTTTTCAGTAAGTTTAAAATGATATAATTTATAAAATAACATGACCACCTCAAGGAGGTGAAGATTATTCTACTGTACACTGTGGTAGTGTGTTAAGTACATGTTCTGAGTAGCTGCTGTTTTCACTGCCCCATTTTCCAATTTAGGTGCAACATAAACTATTTTAATTAATATTGTGTCACCAAAAGGGTTTGAAATGGCCAATTGAATTCTACCAAGATAGAGTCTTTTGATGAAAACATATCTTTATTGATTGTAGAAGAAGAAAATCATTCTTAAAATGAAATCCACAGAAAAATCATATCCCTCAGAGAAAATTTCTGAGTGGCAGGCTGAGATTAACATTATAAAATTGAATTTGTGCTGCAAACCTTTGATGTAATCAGCAGCTGGGAGATGGTGTTGCCCTTGCTGTGCTCCTTCTGATTGTGGTGAATTACTGTGTGGAATGAAATAAGTGTTTCTTGTGTCATTTGTTCAAGAAATACAAACAAGGTATTACTAGGTGGTTCTTGCTAGTTAAAATGGGTTGTATTGATTCCGGGTCCCAGTCTCTTGCTCCTTTGGACTGCAGAGGCAGTACATTCATATCCCAGGGGAGAGCTGTAAGTCACTCTCAGCAGTGACTCCTCTGGCCGATTAAGGAGTAGCATTGACAGATCCCAAGAGGAGTCCCATTAAGTTTTAAGATGGAAGTACAGTGGCGGTCTGAAGGAGGAATATGAAGGGAGGAGGCCTTTTGAAGCAGAACTGAATAATATATGTGAGATCCTTAAGGTCCTGGCAGGAATATAGAGGACCATTAGGAGTGAGGATGTGGGGTCGATATGTTCAGAGTTGGAATAATTAACCCAACACACTTTCCCCGATGACTAGAGTTTACTAAACAAGGAAAGCATACTTATGCCTCCATACGCCCTGAGGCTACGTCCCCTCAATTTAAAGAAACCATTCATTTGTGCACTCTCCACTGTGTACTGTATTTAATAACATAGGACTGGAAGAGACCGCTTGGGTCATTAAGTCCAGGCCCCTACTAATGCAGACAAACCTCTCATATAATTCCATTCATGAACTTATCAAACTCCATTACAAAACTAGCTAGGCTGTTTGCCCCAATTACTTCTATAGGGAGGCTGTTACAGAACCTCCCTCCTCTGATGGTTAGAAATTTTCTAGTTTTTAACCCAAATGAATTCATGTCCAGTTTATACCCATTTGTTTTTGTACCAGCATTGTCCTCTAGTTTAAATAGCTCTTCTCCTTCCCAGGTGTCTTCCAGTCCTTATATATGTACAGAGAGCAATTATATTCCCTCTCAGCCTATTCTAGTCTCCTCTCGTAAGATAGGATCTCCGTTCCCTTGATCATCCTGCTAGCCCTTCTTTGTACCAGGTCTAATTTGAATTCATCTTTCTTGAACATGAGTAACTAGAATTGTAAACAGTATTCCATGAGGATTTTAATCAGCATCTCATACACTGGCATTAATAGTTCCCTATCTTTACTGGAAATGCATCACCAGATATATCTAAGGATCACATTTGCCTTTTTTCATGATCACATAACATCGATGGCTGAGAGTCATCCTGTGATTGCCTAAAACGCTCTCGTCTTGCTCCTCTGTTTTTCTGGCAGATGCATCCCTAGCTTAAATGTTTACAGTATTACAAACATTGCCCATATTTGGCAATATATTGTCAATCAACTTCCTATTTAATAACTTTAAAAATATAATTTAATACATCTCTTGCTTTTGTTATAATTTTTGTCTTTTTCTGTCTTTAAACAACATTTTTTCTTTATTATCATGGTTCTCTTTTCCTATTTTTGACATGTCCTCTTGTCCTTCTCTTGCTCACCCCTTTATTTCTTTCTCTTTTTCAACATTGTGTTTCCTACCTCCTCTCCTATAACTTCTGTATCTCTGTTGTATTTCCACTTCTCCATCAAATATCTCTCAATACCATATTTCTTTTTTTCTAATTTATCCCCTCCATTGCTCCCACCTGCATGCAGGTCCATGCAC